TAAGTGTAAAAAATATAAAAATAAAGTTGTTGTAGCAGATATATTTTGCCTTTATCAAATTGATAACATATTTTTGTAGTATAACTAAATATATCAATGAATAATAAATGAATTTTTATAATCAATTAATTACAAATACATTTCCCCTTCCGAACAGATTCGAATCCGTCAGCGTTCGAGCGTAGGATGACGTTCTAAAGAGATGTAAAACTGTGGGTAAATTCCTCTGGTGTGGGTTCGCCGTTTCCACGAGAAATAGATGGGTTTGCAGATTGAGCGTGACGTATCTCCTTTGGGGAAAAGTATGCACGATTTTAGGGGATGAAGCCGCAGCAGCCCTCGGCGCCCAGCCAAGCCCGCGGACCGATCGTAAGGTTTCAATTTATGCATGAAGAAAACGTTCCTAATAAGGATCTGGTCGGCGATGTGCGGGACCGTTTGCCACTAGATAGCTATCGAATTGCCTAGTATCGGATTTATGTTTCGGTGTTTACATAGATATAAAGTGATGTTTTACTGCCGGCCGTTTAACTGAACCCGATCGAAGATTAGAGGGTTTCTAAATGGGGATTTGTTTTTAATCGAATCGTACGTGCTGATTGTTTAGTAAACGATTTCAAAGCAATCATGATTTTATTTACTCGCTATCATATTTATAACTGTCCAGTTAAGGACATTTTTAGTAAATTTTTTGATTTACAATTGTCAGCCGTAATAGGCTACAATAGGATTGTATACGTATATAGTGACATGCTCGAAAAGCAACTCAATAGTTATTTTTTCATTTTTCATAAATAATATTGACAATATTTAATTGATAATATAAACTTAACTATTTTCTTGAAAATAATAACTAAATTATTCTAATCTTGATGACATAAATCAAGTGGTGATTTTCTCTTCAGTCTACGACGATAGTTTTTTGTTAGTAAGGTGTTTGTAAGGTAATTTGGATAACAATCTTGATTTTTATTTTAGCAAATATGTATTTCTGTAGCAATGTTGAGTAGAGCTATTTTCACTGGGAAATATATTTAAATATACATTTTTAAGTGAAAACGTATATTACTACTGCTTGATATCTAGTTGACTGAAATCTGATATACAAATAAATATGCAAATTGTAAGCATATTTTAGTATGATTGCGATAATAATCTTCTAAATGCATAAATTTAACAATTTATCATAAAACATATTTATAAACTCTAAAGATTATTTTAAATAAGATTTGTAAAATTTATGTAGTTGGAGGGAAAATTTACACTAATATTATTATATCATTTATTATCTTAATAATAATTTAATAAAATCAAATTAAATGAAAACTTTCTAATTATTAATTAATATAATATTTTCAATTTTTTTTTTCCTTTTGCTCCATAATATAAGCAGCCCGACACCGAAATAGAGTAAATTATAAACTATTTTTTTTTAAATTTTGCATTATTTATAAAAATAATAATAATTTATTGTGACACGATTATTGTGATAACATAATTCGCTTGTTTTTCAAAAAAATGTATGAAAATTTAGCTAAAAATTGCAAAAAATTTAAAAATTAAAGTCGTATTTTTTTGAATTTGTTATAACTTAAATATTTGCTTTATGATGATATTATTATTAATATTGATAATATTGATGAAAAAAATCATTTTGTAATTAATGAACTTCTGATGTTCTTCTGGAAAAAATGTCTAACAGAACAGAAAATATTGTTGATTACAATAGTTAAATTAGTACATAGTTTTTTTTTATATATTTTTACATTTTATCACAAATTTGGGTTTATTTTCATTAAACATTATTATAAATATTTTAATCATATATATTAAATTCTTCACGAAATGCAAATAGTTTTGTAGCAATTCATACAAGAATGTTAAACATGTAAAGTGAAAATAGGTTGAGCCTCATATCTGATTTTAATCTGATTGGTACTGGTAATGATTTCAATTCTCTAAAAATAATTTAATAAATAAAGTATTGAATATAATTTCATCTATAAAGTTTTATAAATTTACAACAAAAGCGTAAGCCATAATGTAAACACAATTGTTATATGCATCCATCAAGCTGATCATTTTTTACTGATTGACTGACTACATACTGTAGTAGTCATTCATATCAATATATCCTAATATCATTAGCCATTTTTTCAATCATTTACCCATTATTGATCAAACATGTATCGTTATGAATTTTCAACAACTTTAATTGAAATCATCGTTAGTTTTTAACACTTGCTGGCGTTCATATCAAACTCGTATTACTCGACACCCGTTGCCCCAAAAGTCTCGTTCAATGAATCGATTGCTTTTGTATAACACAGTTTGCTCGTTTATGTGCAAAACTATAATTTGGAACAATATCTGTACAGAATTTCATTAAAATGCAAATAGATTTCGAAATACGCGGATGCTACGTCGTTTATGCAATCCGTCATATGTCATGTATTTCATCATTAATCATATCTGAATACGACAATTAAAAATATATATTGTGACTTTTGGTAACGATCAGTGCTGATATTTGAGATGAAATTTATTGCTTTCATGCACTTGGTAATAAAATATTAAGATAAGATTTTTGGATCATCGTATCATTTTTAAAAATTCCACAAAAAATATTATACTACATATAAAAAAGTATATATTTGATTTTTTTGATTCAAAAACGTGGGGCAAATTTTTTATGCTTCCATTAATGCATTACAATCTATCTATTATATGAAGATATTCAGTAATTGTTTTGTTTTTTATTAGCAAATTACTACATTGCAGGTTCTACTCGTTCTTTTTAGCCGTAATATGAGGATCTAAATGAAACACAATATAACTCTTCACTTTTTTAATTTTCTCTACACAAATTACAAAACTGTTCATTATATAAAGTCATTTAGTTTTTTTTATTTATTACCTGTATTAGAAGGCAGCCCAATTTGTGATTTTTCTACCTGTGAAATATCTTGATATTAACTTACTGAATGAAAATATTATTGAATAATATTGAAATAATATAAAAATATTTATATCTTAATTTTTCTAATTCATAAAATGACTATATCAGCAAATTTCTGCCTTTAAGAATGTTTAAAAAAATACTCACACGATATGTCTAACTTAAATAGTCAAAATTTAGATAAATCAAATTACTAAGGTTTTATTAGCTTCAATGATATTTGTTTTAATTAAAAAAAATGATGATTTTACTTTACATTGAATACTTAGTTTTGTATACTTGTACTTTTCAAAAAAATCTAATATATTTGCAACTTAAAATCTTTAATCACAAACTTCCAAAATATTTTCTGTTCTCTATATGCACATTAATATAGTCTATGTCACTCATATTTTTATATCAACTTTTGTAGGAACGTATTTTATAAACATATATATGAAACTGAATAACGGTTTAAAATAACTTTCAAACTTTCAATGTTCATATACGAATATTTCTGAATTTCATATTTTTAGTACTATTTTTGAATGCAACACTCTACTGAATATGGGCAACAGATGTCAGTTGCAGAATCGAGACAAACTTTCAGAGATGCAAAAAAATATTTTGTTTGAGTCACTTATGAATTGTTTATTTTTTCACAAATCATTATTGCTGCTATTTTAAAAATCCACTTCTATTGTTTTATTTGTTTTAAATTGAGGTAAACTAACAATGAATGCTCCTTGCCTAAAATAAAAATTATTTTCAATTTTTCTATTCGTGAAAGAGGATAGTGATTTATGGATAATAAAAAAAATTTTGAAAACTTCACTAAGCTTCATGGATCATAAATTTTAAATATATATAACATGTACATAAGTGTATATATGTATAATGAGTATGAACATACGAAATTAATCCAAAAAATGTTTAAGCAACGAATTAGTTCTAAAGATCTCTTTTCTACAAACCATAATTATTTATTTCATGCAATTGTACTATCTAAATAATTTATGTAACGAGTGCATTGGTTGCTGAACGTTGATAATTTCCAAATTCACGTAAACAAATAATTTTGCAATAAATTTAACCCATAAAATATTTTATAGACTCATTAATGTCGAAACCATGATAATTTTATAGATATTCAGAACTTGATATATATATATATATATATATATATATATATATATACATATATATATTGTAGAGTTTCGAACAAGAATCCAAAAAGTAATAAAAAACAAGAAAAGTTTTTTAAATAAAATATTTATTTATTTATTTATTTATTTATTTATTTACTGTCGACGTTTCGGAACTAGGTACGTTTCATCTTCAGTACATCTGTCAAGAAACATGATCTTGATGAGATTTAAGCAAACAATATGTTTAAGAAAAGAAAATGGATATTTAATTCATAAATTAGTTGAAAAAATAATGATCGAATAATGATCAAGAATGTTCGAAACTCTACAAAATATACACAAATCCCAGACTGTACCATTTAATATACGTGTATATATATATATATATATATATATATATGTGTGTGTGTGTGTGTGTGCGTGCTCACTGATTTCCACTACTAATTTCACTAAATTCCAAATTTAAAGATATATCAATAAAATTAAAATCTTTATTAATATAAAATCATATATACAATATACAAATCATCGTTGCAATTACAATTATAACAGTCTTGATGGTGGTAAGCATTTATGTACATAAGCCATGTGAATAATCATAAATTAAACAAAAACAGTTGTATAAATAGTTCAAGTACAAGTTAACAAATATTTGACTAATATTTTCTACCTCATTTAATTATTTCAATTTAAATATAGTAAACACAACCTTGGTGTGCGAGTAGGAGATGAATATTAAGTTAATTTTAATTATGCTAAATGTAAAAAATAAATAATAATATATACTAATAAAAGACTTAATATAATAAGAGCATCCTAATATTAATAACAGATCGTAAAAATGTTTAAATAAAAAATTTCATATTACTCTAATGTAAATATGAAGTCTATGTTATTGGAAGCTTCTTCCTTCTTCATAATCCATTTTTGATAATATTATGTATTCCATTTTTATGTGATCCATTGGTATAATTTCCGTTCGTATGTTCTCCATTTCTGTAATCTCCGTTTGTTTTCAAAGATGTGCTATCTAATGTCTTTTTCTCGATCAATTTCGAGTAATCGTTCGGAGTCAATCCTAGCATATCCTTAACCTCGGTCGATACACCGTGACGCAGGAGGTATTCGATGACATCACGTCTTCCGTGCAATGCAGCTGCATGAGCTGCCGTTCTTCCTGAAAACCAATCACTTTTTACATAAAACAAAAATATCTTTCTTCTGATAAACGAACGCTCTATGTGTTCTACCGTAAATTTTCCATTACTTTCTTAGAACCCTTTTATATGCAGTAAATCTGGTTTTAAGCTAGGTCGTTCAACAACAAAATACGAAAAAGATAGTTGATTAAACGATTTTCTAGTTGAACGCAAAATGTGAAACGTGGAAATTGTAAATTGATTGTCGAAAATATTTGCTTCGTATAACACGTGTAATACTGATGTTTGTTATCTTGAATCAATAATATAAACCTCTATCACATAAATAGAATATTATCTCATGTTTACAAATAATTTCCGCGAACTTAATATTTACTTCAATCGCAATAATAATTAATTCCCCATAATCTATAACTACTTACCGCTAGCATCAGATTGGGATAAGTCAGCTCCTGCTAATCTATAGCCTTCCAACCTGACAAGTAATCCTTTCTCAGCAGCCTGGACCAAATCGTTGCCGCAGGAAGAAACCAGATGGGCTCCAGCTTTTCTTAAAACTCTTATTACCTCGTGTCTGTCTTGATCTATTGCATCTCTTAATGGTGTTCTACCACGAACATCTCTTGCATGTACGTTGGCGCCGAGCTTTAGCAAACACTTAACAACTTCAATTGATACGTCCACATTAGCACAAGCAACGTGCAAACTTGTTCGTGCCTCTGTATCAACAGCTGTAAAATCTGCGCCTTGTTTATGCAACTCTTCTAATCGTTCGATGTCATCTGCTAATACAGCATTATTTAGCATTGATGGGTATAAAATGTTGTTCAAGTTTTTCTTTTGCATTTTTGAAGTTACTTTCAAACATCTTGCTACAGCTTCTATCAAATCTTCTGTATCTTCTGTGGTGACATCGGTCAGTTCTCCCCGTAAGCTAGTGCGCATCATGAAACGCCGCGTAGGAAGGTCCCATTCGGGTTTAGACAGGACATACGAAAGTTTGCATAGGGCAGCTTCCGGGGTCATATCTACCCCGGAAATGACTCCACAATCACGTAGCACTCGTCCAGTTTCATACACCTCACTAACCGAGCCTTTGGCACACTGGGTTATGTTGACAATTATTACACCTCGTTCAGAGGCTTCTGTGAGGGCTGCTGTCAATTCACTTCTGCTGCAGGGTATATTACCTGCGCCAAAAGTTTGCAGAACTATTCCTTCTACAGGTGGTCTTAGAAAAGATCTTATTGTATCACCTGACATACCAGGAAAAATACGTAAAAGACCTACATTTGGGTTTAAATCAGTATGAACTGACAATCTTTCAATTTCTCTGGGTCGTATAAGTGCGGCTCTATCAATTTCAACCGTTATCGACATAACAGCTAGTGGCGGATAATTCGGACTCGTAAATGCTTGCAAAGCATCACAACTCGTTTTTACAGTTCGGTTACCTCTGTATAACTTGTGACCGAAGAATACGCAAACTTCTGCAATATTGTATCCACCCCCAGCCATTATCAACGCTGATAAGAAATTGTCACGACCATCGGATCTAGTTTCGAAAATTGGAATCTGTGCACCAGTCAAGATGACAGGTTTACCCAAGTTTTCGAGCATGAAACTCAAAGCCGAAGCGGTGTACGATAGAGTATCAGTTCCGTGAAGTATTACGAATCCGTCGTAAGTTTCATACCAATGCTCAATGTCACTTGCAATTTTAGACCACTCTTTGATGCCCATGTCGGAACTATCCAGCAGAGGGTCGTATTCTAAAATCGAGTAAACGATTCGTCTGCGTAAATCATCATCATATTGCGGCATAACTAACGGTGTCGAAAGTCCTGTACCGAATCTTTTCTCTGCATATTCGGCATCATGCATATGTTGGTAGCCACGTATGCGTTTTTCAAGTGCGTTCGGATTTGGTGCCAAAACTCCATATTTATTTTTCATCATGCCTATTGTGCCACCGGTATACAACACCAGCACTCTTGATTCAGTTTCGGAGTTGGTCACGTAGGTAAAATTAGATTGCGTCATTTTTTGTGTTGATTTCACCGGCAGAATCGAGAGGTCGTTGAATCACCTAGTATATTTTATAACGCTTCGTTGGCGTAGGTCACTTCTTGCCGCATGCGGCGTTTATGATGCAATAAATAGAAGAATTTCTGTAGAAAAATGTTATTAAAACATACTTTTAATATTGCTTGTCGTTTTTCAGCGGGTAGTTTTATATAAAGTAATAGATAATTAATTTTAATAAAAGCCAAAAATAGTGAAATATTTTTAAAACACCTTATAATGCACTGACATATAATTTAGCATTATAATGTATGCGCATCCTTTTAAAACAATACACATTTATTAGCATATGTTGACTACATATTATGATAATAATTAATGTTCTGATTTTTCCATAATTGAAAATAACTATAGCATCAACCTTTTGACCCGGTGTAATTGCAAAACTGTTTTATTAAATTATTTTTCATTTTACATCAAACGTGTGGCAAGCAATATGTCACAATATTATGATAATATCCCATATAATACACAAATTATAAGGTCAGGGTCGGAGTGCTTCAACGATTTAATTGATAATTTGAAAGATTATTTTTCAATAATTAATTTCGAAGATAAGCGAATGGAATCACGCTTCATGTAACATGTTGTACGAAAGTGTAAACATGTTGTTTGATTTATGATAATAATTTTGCATTGTGTTGTTTCAAAGTACTAATTCGTTACTAATATTAAATTAAAAAATAATAAAACATTTAATAATTGCCACTGAAAATTGTGAATGAACCAAATTATATTTGCATATTATAATTATATTTTAATAATACTATAAAGTTATTAAATATTTTTTGACTTTGATTAATTAAAGTCTGAATATATTATTTTAACTTTTAGTGATGCCATGATTGAAATACCTTTATAATAATCCGTCTTTAATTTAAATTTCACTTTTCACTAATAATATTAAAAATAATACACTGTCACAGAAGTTTTTATATTCATGTAATCATATTTATTATTTTATAATAAATAGTTAATAAATATATATTATTTTGTTTCCACACATATATTAACCTCTTCGCGTTTCGCGGCGTACTGACCGCGTATTTCTCTAATAGTAGGTTAGTGTGGAATAGATTGTGGCTTCGGCCACATGGAAAATTGTTTACATCGATATTTAATATCAGTTCAGTTTGAAAATATTATTTTAATCTAATAGTTTTAATATTAATATACTTTATCATTATTATTTTTATTATATATTCAGAACTGTTCAATTTATGAGAACATTTAGCAAATTTGATCATGTGCAACGATCACACAAAAGACATTGCTTTGAAATATAGGCATGTTGAAATTACAACTCAATGGTTAATTTTCCATTATATAGATAAATTATAACTATATTCAAATAATTATAATATAAATCTGAAATATATTCTTTTAAATAATAAAATTAGCATGTAAATTTAGTTCTGAATAAGAACCAATGTAGACTTAATGTAAGATAGATCAAGTCGCGATTTTCTTTTAACTTACTATATGTAGTAGTTTTTTGTTATTATATATTAGATTTAATATTTTTATATTTTAAAATTATAATAATATAATATTTTAATAGATAATATAATAAAAAAATGTAGTTTATAATAGATTAAATTTCTTACCTTTCAATAGGGTAAGTTATAGTAATCGCAAAAAAATAAAAATGTTTGCATACCTTCACGTTTCAAAGGTTTCTGAACATTTTGGCAAATTCATAAAAAGGGATGTATGTATGTATGTATATGTATGTATGTGTGAATCAAGTTTTCGTCAGTGATTTTGAGAGTAGAGATCAACCGATTTGATGATTCATAACATTAGATTCCTATTGAAAGGGTCTAGCTGTTTTGAGGATGCGGGGTATAGTGCAACAAATGGCAATTAATTTTTTAAGAGAATGTTTCGACTGATTCAAATTCAAAAACATTTTACTTGTACATTGTATTGATGAAATGAAGAAATGATTAAATTTTTAGGAAAGCAAGTCCAGATAAAAGTTAAAAATATGTCATTTTGCGGTTATTGGATATAGGTTCATTAAAATTAAAGTACCAAATACTTTATAGAGATTTTAATCCTAAGTACAATTACACTTATAAAGTCTAGACAAATGTTTTCAATATTTTCTATAGTAAGGGTTTAACCGACTTGACTTTTGAATTCAAATTCAAAAACATTTTACTTGTATTGATAAAATGAAAAATTGATTAAACTTTTGGGAAAGCAGGTCCTGCGGTTTCGGAGATCCAATAAAAAAATTTAAAAAGTGCCATTTGGTGGTCATAAACGATCATTAGACGTATTATAAGCACATTAAATTATTAGATATTTTATAGAAATTTAAACAATAAGTGCAATATTTGTTTCCATTTCTATGGGTTCCGTATCAAGATTTATATTTTTTTAAGTTCACTTATATAGTCCAAAATTTACGACCTGAACCGATATCAAAATTTTCAATGTGTATTTATCATATGTCACCAATTTCAAATATAGAATTTTCTAAAAAAATTTTTATTAACGCTTGCCATCTGTCCCCGACCTGGGCCGTTTCAGCGGGACGGCATCGTAAAACACGTGCGTGCGAGATCTTTATTCTAATCTCTAGTGCGAAATACGAAACGCGATTGTGTTTGCCGAGGCATGTCCCGCTACCAATACAGGAAACGTAACCAGTAACAAAAAAAGATAACGCCGAACCAGGGAATCATGTGTGTGCGTGGTCACACGCTTATAAAAGTATTTTCAGTGATGTAGCGTTTAAGAAAATAAATACATTTCGCATAATATAATTCCTTTTCGAAGTGAGAGCGTGCAAACGAGCTATTTGCACGATTTTAGCGACTTAGGTTTAACACAGAAGCGGATTCTTAACTTTGATTTAAAAATTTCTCAAATATTTGTACCGAACCTCGTTAGGTATAATGTAACATCTATAAAATAATTATTTATTATAAATAATTAATAAAATTACAGTAACGTTATTTTAGCGGAATTCTAAAATACATGCAACTCTAATTTTTTACCCTCCTACCACAAATCTCTATATTATAATAGTCGTTTTTGTAATAGGTTCACTTTTTACCTCGCTTTCAGTCAGTGAATGCTTTTGATTGAATTTCAATTTAAATTTATTTGACCTTATGGAAAAGCTGCAGTTTACTTCAAAAGGGTTATCCAACCCTAACACTTTGCAAGAAATTTTGAAATCAATATCCTTTCTTCTAATTTTTTTGATGCAGAATTCTCCACATTTTTTTTATTCTCTATTTTATTTACCACTGTCCAGTTGAAGACATTTAATAAATTTGTGGAATTTGTAATTGTCAGCCGTAAAGAGACATTGTATACTAAAGGGGCATTTTGGAAAAACAACTCAATAGTTGTTTTCCCATTCGATATAATATTTACAATATTTTATTGATAATTATATAACCTTAACTATTTACTTATAAAATATTTTTTTATAAATAAAATAATGACTAAGTTATTTCAATTTTTTATTAGTAGTGTTGATGACTTAAATCCAGTGGCGCTTTTCTTTTCAACCTTCTTAAATAGTTCATAATAATCACTTTAGTAGCCCAATCAGTTATTTCTGAGCTTATGGAAGGGCTTAAAATTATCTGTTTTTTTCGCTGAATCATTTTAAAAACAATTTTTAGACATTTACAGGTGACAGAAAGGTTAACACCGATAAAACCTATAGCAATTTTAACAGAGTTCTAAAAATTTCACTCGATTTGCTAGACATGTCGCTACATAATTCGAAAATCAATTTGGATATTTCGTTGTATTTAATAATATATTAATATATCAAAACCATGAATCTCTGAATGTACCAATTCAATTTGATTGGAATCAGTTTGTCTATTGTCCCTTAATATTGCCAAGGTCGTTTATATGTGGCATGCTTTGCAGTGGGTAAATCATCCATATTATTTTTGTTAGTTGCTCTTTTTGCTTATTGTTAAAGTTTTGCCTTCAGCGATGGAGGTAATTTTGGTATGTTAAAACACAACACAAGTTTTATAGATTTATTACAGAATACAAATATTATTATACACAGTGGTGTTGTGCTAATATTTTTTTTGCCGGAACGCTAAAATTTAAAATCCGGTTCAAAAAATTTGATATATTTCGATAAGACCTCACAAATGTAATATATTGACTTATTATAATTAACTCTATTATATACAGCTAGTCTATACATTAAATTGTACAAGTATAAGGGAATCATTGAGTACATAATTTATATTCTTCAATGACATTAATTATATTTATTCTGGTATTATTTGTATTCATTAATACCTACATGTATTTATTATGATATAAACGTACTCAAGATTATTACAATACTTTATAAGATAACCTAATAATATGATAGATAACCTATTACCTATCATACTATATTATATTATTGTATATCATAGATAGATATCTATTATCTATCATACCGTGAGATACCTATACCGTCATTAACTAACTTATTATATACCTACATACCTTTACTTATTATAAATACTACTGTCTAATTTATATATTCACCTATATTATATAGGTTTACCTTACGCCCTATGTATTATCTCTACCTATTATATATATTATCTATTGTCTATACCGGGAATTGAACCCGGGACCTCCGCGTGGAAGTCGCGCACCTTAACCACTACCCTATCGGGTACCCCCATTAATAATATAATATGGGACGCACTGTTGTTTCCGCGGGTCATTTTCTAATTAATTAGATAATTAATACTGAGGTGGCGCGACGACACGCGAAAAAAGACGGTTGATTGTAGCGTTACGGTGGTATAGCGGTTAAGGTCGTCGCGTTCCACGCGGCGGACCCGGGTTCGATTCTCGGTAGAGTTAATGTAGCGTGTAAAAAAAATATAGGTAATAGGATATATAGTAGATATAGGTTAGGTGTATTTGGTATACAATGTAGGGATTTGAGAGTATGTGATGAAATATAGCGCATGGTATAGATGTAAGGCATGTAGTATAGAATGCAACGTATAGGCTTACGTAAGGCTATAGAAATAC